ATCTGATTTAAAGGGAACTCTGACTAGATGTCACATTAGACAGCATTTGATAGACATTTACTTGAATCATATTTATGTGACTAAAAATATATTAGGCTGCTTAGTATTATAAATAAAAAGAAAAAGTTGTCTTAATGTTATTTTTTTGTTTTCTTAAACTTTTAAATGATGATAAATTGTTTGAACCCAGTTCGACTTTTCTTCTGGGTCTGTAAGAAACATGGTGCCAAAAAGATCTGCTCCAGGCTCATCTCCAACACGATTTTTTTTGTTGTTTTCAAGCCGAAATGTTTACTTTCTGTTAAATATAGTGTTTACAATAACCATTTATTCCACAAGAGGTGGGAGTTTGGTGTTCAGGGTTTAATCTCTTCAAAGGTCTATGGTAACTCTTTCTGCCTTTTCATGAAGAAATCATTTTCATTAGCTGTAATAACTTCATTATCTGATGTTAATTTGCCTCAGAATTACACTGAAGTGGTGCTGGTGGGTGGATTTGTTGAGGGAGTCAACACTCTGGGCCTCATCGTCTTCGTCACTTTAACAAGATGGGAGAACGAGCCCAAAAATTTGATTGGCTGGGAGGATAATAAAAGGAAATGAGCTCCACCTGACAGCTGAGTGTGCGGCCTGAGGGGAGAAGTTTGCTTGTTGGTCCTGCGCTACAGCCTTGCCACAGCTCCACTTTTTTCCTCCTTGGGAGGTTGCCCGGATCCGACGGTCAGCTGCTGGCTGGTTCAGGTTTCCTCCCTCCTTTTGTTTTGTTTTGAAGTGGGGTTTCCCTTGTTTTGTCCGGACAATAAATCTTGAGCTCTTTTTACAAACACCTTTGTGTCTGGACATTATATGTTGTGCGTCCTGGGTATCCTAGACCCCGGGACCGTAACAGTAACGTAAATAAAACAAGCCATTAAGGAAAAATGCTTGAGAAATCAAGGGACGATTTTTGCTATAAATGCACTGTAATGTGATAATAAATCAAAGTAAACAAAATGTTTACAGATCAGAGAAGAACCTGTACTTGTTTATGTGAAATGTTTTTATTAAGTGAAGATATGTTCAAACAAAAACAATAGAAACCATGAGTTTTTTTTAACTCAAGGCACAAACTGTTTACCTGAAACCTAAAGCAGAATCAACTGCTGCAAACAAGTTCCACWCTACAAAGACAACATACAACAGAACGGACAATATCTACACCAACATTTTGCCCAAAGCCAAGCTAATATTTAGTATCATTAAAACAAGTCAGGATATTCAGAACAACTTATTCACTATTGATAACTGGTTCGTTACTGGTTTGAGCTCTGAGTTATGCCCAGAGCCTCTCTGAGACTCGCCAGGGCCTGACCGGCCTCCACGAGTTCGTCGTTCAGCTTCGTGCAGCTGTCCAGCACCTCCGCCAGCTCCTGAAGCTTCAGCTGCATCTCAGCGCTGTTCTTCTCATAGACCGTGTACATGTGCTCCTTCATCTGCTGGAACATCTCAGTCACCTGGTGCAGGAGAAATAATCAGACCGTCAACCAGAGCAGAGAGTCTGAACAGGCAGGACACAAATAGTCGTTTAACATCAACATGTAAAATACAGGGTGAGTGAAAAGTCACAGGACATCGATTTCTTGCAGAATTAAACGGGTGTCCTGTGACTTTTGACTCA